CTTACTCCCACAGCCACATTCTGAGTAGAGCTAAAAGGGGCCTCTCTCGTCCGTTTGTTCCCACCCTTACCTTGTTGGAAAGAGGGAATTATATTGGTAGTGTGTGAACTTTTAGATTTTATATTAAACAATGAAATTAAATATCCTTCTTAGAAGTGTTTTTCTAACTTTTCAAACCTTGATACAGAATAACAAATACATTTTATATTGCACAGTATCATGTTGCTGTGTGCCTGCATGTGTGTGTGTGTGTGTATATAAAATGACCATAACTGAATCAAAATTTCATGAAATATTCCTTGCCCTTACCATGTGCATTTCCAATAATTTCTACTGTATTTTATTTCATTTAAAAAGTGCTGATCACAGCCCATAAGTTGACTTTGTGACCCATTACATGGGTTAGTGACCTACAGTTTGAAAAAAATACTGCATCAAAGGACTCCTATCAAACTGCATGTATGACATTCCCTGGTCAGAAGATTTCACTGGGCTGGCAGGGCAGTGACTCAGAGAGGTCAAATCCAGACCTGGGTGTCTTTTGCTTTATTTAGTCTATGCCAGTAAAGCCATCCTATGTGAACGACCTTCTGATAGCAGGTTCCTTAAGGTAGTTTTAAATCTTAGGCAAAGCATTGTGATACTTCTAGATAATTAGCTTAAACTGAGGGCAGATACCTTTTTACTGTGGTGGTAGATGGCTTAGGTAATGATTTTTCTCGAACAGTTGGGACTGCCATGAGAAGGCTGGTCATCTTGGTGTAACTAGAAGGCATCGCAGTCGATTTCACCTCTGCCCTAAGCGTTCTTGAGTTATCTTTCCCACTTAGACTTTAAAATTGCATGCTCAAGTTGGCAAAAGAAGAATTTCCATACCAAACTAAGCAGTAATTAATAGTAATTACCCCAGTTGGGCAAACTGCCAAATTAAGTTTTCTTAGGACCAGTAAGATCAGTTGTGTACTCCTTTCCAAATACAGGATTTGTGTGGGCCATGAACACAGAGGAGGTTGATGTACAGGCATTTAAAGCAGAAGTTTGAAAACCTGGCTCATGTTTTGCAAAGGAAAATGATGTGTGTCATATCTGACTGAATTTGGGAGCAAAGAATTTAAAAAAGAAGGTGGAAAATGGACTCTGCCTACGTCATCCTTTGTAGCACATATACCTAATTTGCTATGTGTATAAAAATTTTTTTTAGATATTCGTTAGGAAAGAAAGACTGTTGCATCCTGCCGTTAACTTTCGTTTTTTAATAGAACTTATTTTTTCCCGCTGATTAACATTGATGCCTTTGATTTTGTGGGTGTTGTCAAGAGAGAGTTCATCACGTGGGGAAAGAGCGGAGAGGAAGATTGGCAGTCTCTCTCCTTGGTACTTTTCCATAATTCTCCTTTCACCACCTCGCTGTTATTTCTTTTTCACTCTGAAGTAGTTCCAAATCTGATATGGTAGAAACTTGATTTTGTTTCCTGACTACATGAGTATTTGAAATAAACTGGGCCTTTTTTTTCAAGTTTTTTAATAAGTATCACAGAAAGAAGATTGTAAAGTAAAAGCAAGAGCAGTGATAACTTACATTTGAAAAACTACATAACAAGAAGGGTATGCTGAGATGTAGAAAGTCAAATTATAGGTACCCCTAAAATTCACCCTCCACTTTCCTTCCTTTACTAGAATTTTCTACCAACATTGAAGTATTGGGGGTTAGGATAGGAAGGAAGTATGGACAGAGCTTTCTGTTCCTAAGACATTTGGCACTTCTTTCTAAAGCTGAAGACAGTTAACCTCAAAGTAACTGGAGTGCCAGACTAGAAATAGTTTCTATGAACTATATTGGTCGTAATTTGAACTATTTCTACCAGTTGTGACTTTGTGACTGGCAAGAATTAATATGCCTTTTTTGGTTTGTAGGACTGTCAAAAAATGAGACACCAAACTTGTGACCAATCCCAAGTGAAGCAGACTATTGTCCCTGGTGCTCCATTTTGAGAATAAGTCCTAGCTCGTTCTCTCTGAAAAGGGTACTGAAGTAGGTGGCATGTGGGAGTCATTGCAACAACCAACCTGATGATGGGAAATCGATGGGCCCAAGAGCCATCAATGTTACATTAGCATGCTTTAGAGTTTTTAGGATGTATTCAGTATAGTCTCTTTTGCTATACCAAGGAAACAATGTGGAACCATCTGTTTCTGTTGTCTCTTCTCTACACATTGACTACAGTGATTTGCATTATAGCATATGTGTTATATGGAACCTTAATAGAATTTTATTTTCGGTTGTCTTCGAAACTATGCCTAATGTTTTCTCTAAAATTGAATAGTCCTCACTGACCTGGGGGTCTTGTTTTGTTCTTGGTGTGTGTGTACATGCATGTGTGTGTGTGTGTGTGTGTGTGTTTGGGTATTTTGTTCAAATTATATTTTCTCCATTTCTTTATTCTCAGTAATATTCCCAGCCTTATTTCCTAGTGGATGATTTTGCAGAAGAACCGATTGTCCTTTGACACTTGCATCCCCTCCATTGTCCACCTGCCTGATGTATTTCCATGAGCACGGGCAGCGGCTTTTCCACTCTTCTCTTCTAAATGAAGAAGAGAGAGACCAAATATCCTACTCCAGGTTCTGTCAAAATATGAATTTAATTCTTTTTCCTTAATTTCAAAAGGAAATGGTGAAGGGATAACAATGTATTCAAAATTGGATGAATTGTATTATTTTCTAACTGAAACAGTGTAGAGGAACCTACCCACTGTCAAATCTCACTGGCACAGCTTTATAGATACTGAGGAACAGCCGTGTTTCCATTTGGCTGGCTGTTCTCACATGTGGTTTGTCAAAATAGAGAAACACGGCACGGATATTCTGAGTATAAGACCAAACACGCTCTGAGCATGTCTCTCTCTCTGTCCTCTGAGGAGAGAGACAGCCATGAGCAAGGAAGAAATGGACAACTGTAGGACACCTCACAGTCCTCTGTGGCCCTCAGAAACCTGTTCTTCTCCCTCCTTGTTCTGTTCATTGGACACACACATACCTTGTCATAATGAACTGTTATTATTTTTTTAACAAGGTAAGTTCAAGAAAAATTTAAAAGAGCCAATATTCGCACGGTGTAATAGCATACGGAACTTGCTGTTCTAAGCCAGAATTGAAGTAGATCATAAAAGATTTGAACAAAATTGTGAATGAAGGACCTGACGTAGTGACTACATGGCCACCAGCTGTCCTGATGACTTCTGTCATGTGCTGTCAGAGGAGAAAACTATATCCTCTCCTCCTTGTTCCCTCAGGGCCTTTGTTGTAGGAGAATCATGGGAAGGATTGAGGATGGCTTTGACTCCAAGTGGGAATTTTTGTTTTCCTGATGAACCTGACTAGAACTCAGCTTTAGGCGTATGACTACCACCCGGTCCTGTTGACATCTGCCCTTAATGCCAAGGGTTTCAAAACCCAGTGCCCCTAGCTGCATGAAGTTCTTTTGGGTTAATCTGTAGCAATTAAACTGTTTCTGGATCCCAAAATGTCCTTGCTGGTAACTGGAAACCCAGTCTATTACGGGGAGGAGAAATGGGCATGCAGCTGTGATGCGACTCATTCAGACTTTGTCCCTTTGATGGAAAAGAACCTGCTGTGACATCACCTATTCACCAGGGGACATACCGTTGCCAGAGAGCTCCTGCTTCATCCACTAGCACCCCCTTCGGAGAAAGGCTGGGTTTTTGTGTGCAGCAGCACCTTACAGGGAGGCCTCCTGCTGCCTATCTTCATTTCTAAGGAAATAAGCATCGATTTTTTTTCCTCTTTGTTAAGTTGCTGGCTAGGGCTGAGTGCACTCTTCTGAGAGATAATAAGAACCCAAAGAGAAAAGAGACTCTTAGCCGTGGTTCCAAACACCCACCAAGTGCTTTGCCATGGTCTGCTATGGTGGGTGGGCCTGCGTCTGCATTGACCGCTGCCCATCCCTCGTGCTCTGCATTGTCCCCTGGGCCTCGCCTCCTTCATGCTCTGCACCTGACGCACACACATACCTTACTGAGAAAGCCAGATCCCTGTGTGGCCACTTCAACGGGAGCTGGGTCTGTCACAAGGGTCCCTCCTGATTTCCTGAAAGATTTTATTAGCATCCATGTCCTCCATGGCAAACATTTAATTATAAGGGCACTGACGGGGGAGGTCAGGCCTGGCTGGTTGTTTATGATAATCATGGCTAACATCTACTCCTTAGCCTTATGTGGCAGACATTGGACCCAGCAGTTTATATAATTTAATCTCATTTAATCCTCTAAACAACTGCTAGAGATAGTAGTTATCATTTTCTCTATTTTACAGATGAGGAAAGTGAAGGTTGAGGAAGCTAAACAAGATGGCAGGATTGGTCAGCTAATAATTGTGTTGCTAGCACAGGGTTGAGGCCCGTCGTAACCCAAAGGCCAAATTCTTGAATTATACTGTGGTTCTCCATTTAGGGAGTGGGGATTGGGGTGAAGCCCTGTCCCCCCACCCCCTTGGGATATGGCAGAAGGATTTAGGGAATTTTTTCAATCTGCTTCCATTCATCTTCCCTTTCCCATCTGCATTCCCATTGCCATTGTCTTCCTCTTCCCTATTCTGTCTGATTTGCTTTCCTGGGTCAGCAGGGTGGGGGGAGGGCCTGTGCTCACCATGCATGGAAGGTCACTACCACACTGAGTCACTGTTCCTGAGGGGTGTGCTGTAGCCCTCAGGAGCACTGTGATGGAAATATAGCTGAGAACCAGTGGGCTGAAGAGGGGCTGACAAATCCCCAAGCAATTTTTCTGTGACTTCCTACATGAAGAGTTCTCTCTGTGATGGCATAGCTTCAGGTGGTACCTACAGCTGTGGAGTGCTGAGAAAGGATGGAAAACAGCCTCCCTATATATGAAAAATGTGTGTGTATATATAATATGAAACATATGTAAAATGCATATATTCATGGAAAACATACACATGCAAAACACATATATGTGAAATATATATACATATAAAAGAAATATATATGAAAAAATGTATTAGACTCTAGGTGTGTCTTTCCTCCTCTCCCACTTCCAGCATCACATTAGTAAGGGTACACGGCTGTTTCCTTTCATTATGTGGCATCTCCTCCATGAGCCTTGCAGAGTGAGCTGGGGAATGGGTGGGGATAAAGCCCGTGCCCAGGCCTTCAAGGAGCTCACAACCCAAAGGGCTTTTGTTTCTCTTGAGGATAACACTGGCAGTTCAATTTATAGATCGGTTCTCTTAGATCATCATGATTTAGACAGTCAGAGAATTCTGTGGAAAAGTTTTCTGAAAAGTGAAAAAAAAAAAATGTTAATACAAGGCCCCAAGCCTTTCAGTATCCAAGAGCTGACCGGGCCCACTTTTGGATTTCAAGCTTATTCACTCAGTTATAGATTAATATTAAGTGTGACTTTTTTGTTCCCTTTGGCAACTTCTAGTTTCCAGTCAATTAGAAATGGCATTTGACACCAGGGAAAGATCTGGAAGAAATACCAGCTCTACATTCTCGGCATTTCTGAGCTTTTTGTGGACGGATGTAAGGGCCATTTATAACTCAGCAGCCCCTGAGGTTGTCCGCGTAGCATCAGAGCATCAGGAAGGTAACATTTTCTTCCTCAAGCACATCTCTTATTTTTTCATTCCCCTGCTCAGAAATCTTCTGTGCTTCTCAGCTGCCTCCATCTCCTTTCCAATTCAAGGCCTCTAGGACCTGGACCAAACATCCTTTTTGGTATCTTTCTTACGACCTTCCCCTAGAAGCCTAACCCCAGCTAGTCCAAGCAGCTCTTCATGCTTTTACCGTACCCGAACTTTGATGGTTCTGAAACTTTGCCCATGCTCTTCCCTACACGATCCGCTTCCCCATCTCCACCTGTCAAAATCCCCTTATTTTGTAAGACCAACCTCAGACAACGTTATCTCTGTGAAGATCTTCAGGATTAGCTGTTGAAATTAAACACTCTTTATTTGTGCCAGTAGTACGTGGTTTAGACCTTGGCTAAAGCGTTTAATACATTCTTTTTTGATTTCTAGCTGGCTGGGTACATTGAGGATCTCTACTCTGTTCTTTGAGGATAAGAAGCATGTTATGCATTTTTGTATCACTCTTCAGTGAGAGAAAGATTTTGTATAAAATGAGTCATTTTTAAATAGCTTAACATTAAGCAAACTTTACATCTGTGGGAAAGGTACTTTTGTGAAATTCCCTGATAATACCAGATAAATCAGCATTGTCCTCTTGAGCATTGCTCTAATCAACACTTGCACCTTTTGGTCCTTTGATGGACCAGGCAGATTTTAACTTTAGGACTGTTGAACTAGCTGTGACCTCTCCCTGGAAATCTCTTTTCTTTTGGATTTTACATGGCAGCTCCTTCTTGGTGCCACACTACTGACCCATCTTAGAGAGGCTTTCTCTGGCTTCTCAAACCATTGTTGGTCTTGTGTTGAGACAGAAGCCCTGTCCCCAGTCGCTCTGTCACAGTGCCCTGTTGTACTATAGCACTACCACAGCCAGGTGAGTTGTGGCTTGTCTGCATAGCATGTGTCTCTTAAGCTTCATGAGAGCAAAGTCCTCCAATAGCTGGTCCCCAGTAAAGGCACTGCTGATGTCTGTCGATGCTGTAAGGTTGGCTGTGGCATTCCATGTCATTCCAGAAGGCCGTCCTACCTAGTGAGACAGTGGCACAAGTCTGTTTCCCACAGTTGTAGGCACATGACAGAAGAAGCAGATGTCACCATGGGTCCACTGATCTTCCTGGGAAAGGCTGGTGACCAGGGTATGGAGGGGTCCACCTCTTCTCGTACCTCTGTGGACTTGGGCGTAGGTCTGACCACAGTGGTATCCCTGATTCTGGCTACCATTGTCCTGGGTCTTGCCAGGAGCTGTCAGGATGCTTCTCACCTTGTGATGTGCCCTGTGTCTGCTTCCCAATAAAAGAAGAAAGTGAAAACAAAATACACATATATATGTATATATAATATGATGTAAGTGGCTCACAGTGGTGCCACTTACATCATATTATATTATTGAAGATCAGTGGTTTTCAACATTGGCTATCTGTTGGTGTCACCTGTGGGGCTTAAAAAAACACAGATGTTCAAGGTTGACCTCAAAGATTCCAACTCAGCTGGCCTGGAATGATGCTCTTAAATTTGGCTCTAAATGTATGAATCATCAAAAGGTCAGGAAAACAAGGAAAGATCAGCTTTCCATAGCTTCCAAAGTTGTGGTTGTTTTTAAGACTGTCTATATTTTTTCTTAAATCCTCATCTCATCTCCTTAATCCTTGTGACTGTCACAGTGAAATAATAAGATCAAACATGAACTTGGCCACAGAAACATCTGGGGCAGTTTTAATTACTGTTTTTGATAGTGTAAGAGCTTCATTATAGTTTTAATATATAAACAGGTTTTGGTATGTTGTCCTCCAGATAAAGGAAATGTAAATAATTATCACCTGGGCTTCTGTCTCAATGCAAGACCAACGATCACCAAGTTATTTTTAAAAAATGTAGTGCATGTTAAATGGCTATTTTTCTGTTAGCTTATATAAAGTACTCTATATTGAGTAACTTGAAATGAATGTTTATTTTATCCATAATTTGTCTTTGGTGTTTATCAGATTCCATTAAAATTGTACAACACGTTTCCCTGTAAATAGAACTTTCCTTTTGCTCGTATTTGTGCATTTGATATCGGACTGTATTCTTAGACTCTCCACCTCCCTCCTCCCCGTGGGATCTGGACAGGTTGAAGTGTGACGTGCGGCCCCCCGTGTTTGACACAGGAAGCACAGAGGGCAGAGTGGGTTAGAATCCTGCTCAGAGCCACTTGCCCAGTCAGTGGCAGGCCCAGCATTAGAATTCCTGCCCCTGAGGATCAGAGGTGTGGTCATATTCCTAAATCATTAGGCAGGCAAATAAAAACAGCAACCTTAAAATGATTCCTCAGAGATATCTGGCCTAGTCGGTGCTTTTAATCAGAACAGTCGTGTGGTGAATCTCCTGCTGGGGAGATCCAGAAAAGATTTCCCCAACCTTTTCTGGATCACAGGAGTTACATTTAATTTATAATGTGAAAATATTTCCTAAGACAGACTCATAATCGTGCTTGCTGAGAAAAGAGCTGCTGCCTTTTCCCTTTCACAAGCCTCCCAATGTGGACAGTCTTGGGCGATGTCTCTTTTTCCAGACTAAAATCTGTTTTTTTGTGTTATCACTTTGACCTTCCAAACCCTTGAATTGTTTTACTTCTTCATCTTGGTGGGTCTGTTGTCTTCATAATCTCTAATTAAATGGTTCTGAACCTCATATAGCCACCGACCATCCAGTTCAGCATAGCGTGGGTAGGATCAAGTTCACAGGCTCAGAAATGCAAGAGATGTAACTTTCCTGATTTTCTGCAGCTCATTTGCATGCCCATTTTGAATTCTTTTTCTACCAGGGAGAATTTTAGAGAAACATTTATCCTCAACATCGGTGAACACTCCCTTCTTTCTCCCTGCCAGGCCCCAAAGTAAAGACTTTTTGGAGTGTTAAGTGTGAGGTTCAGAACTCTGAGAGGCAGAAGAGTTGGAAGGATTTTTTTAAAGCAAAGTCTGTTTTCTACCCAAAGTAGAGTATAATGAAAGTACTTATCGAGTATCCCAACTTGCTATTTCTTTTCTTTTCTTTTTTGAGGAAGGTTAGCCCTGAGCTAACATCCGCAGCCAATCTTCCACTTTTTGTTCAGGAAGGTTGGCCCTGAGCTAACATCTGTGCCCATCTTCCTCTATTTTTTGTATGTGGGATGCCTGCCACAGCATGGCTTGATAAGTAGTAGGTCCGTGCCCGGGATCTGAACCAGTGAACCCGGGGCCACCAAACCAGAGCATGTGAACTTATCCACTACATCACCGTCCTGGCCTCCAAACTTGCTATTTCTAAATAACATGTAGTTCAATGTTTTCTTGAAGTTAGGCCACACTTTGGAAACAAGAGTGCCTTTTCAATTATTACTCTCAACTAAGATGGGCCCCAAAAGATTATAACCACCTGCCAAGTTACTTTTCCTTTCATTTTAGTGTTAAGGATTCAGATGAATGGCAGGAACTAAGAAAGCGAAAGTGTACATAACTGGTCAAGTGGGAGAGTCCAAAGGGAATTGAAGCCCATGAAACCTCAGAAGTGAGGGGTGTACCATCTAATTTTCAGAGACTTTGAAAGACTTTCTTTCTAAAAAAAAGTCATTTGGGTGTCCATTACCTGAAATAGTAGAGTCTTCTTTTTCTTGGTCCAAAAAGAAGCAACAAGGAGACATAGGAGATGTCACAGCAGAGTGTGGTTAACAGCAGCTCCCTGCTGGAATCCACAGGTGAGGCTGGGCAAATGCCACAGTTCTAGGTCAGAGTTGGGCTGGCAATGGGATCAGTTAGCCTGGGGACCTCTGAGTGAGCCTGTGGCTCCAGTTAAATAAGCAGAGGCCAGGATCTGGGAAGGTCGACACCATCAAAGCCCTTCCAGGAACTATGATTGTCCCCTGGGCTTTAAGCCAAGACGCTGGCTCTCTGCCTGATCTGAGTGTGATCTTGAGCTCTGCTTTGCTCCCCAGAGAAGGATTCCAAGCTCTCCGCCGTCGGGGACAGAAGGTCTGCGGTTAGCTCCCCGTGATCTTGACTACAGCAGGGCAACCCAAAGGCTCGCGGCCCCTGGGGGCTCCTACGGTGCTTTAAACCCTGGAAGGCGATTTGAGTCTTCTGTGTCTGTTGTCTTTGAAGGTGTCTAGTGCAGTATTTGAAACCTGTAGCGGCCATGTTGCTAAGTGATTTTTCAGCTGTTCGCTGGAGATGGAAAAATTGCAAAGTGCCCCACCTTTATTTTCCAGTTTTACTCACTTGGCAGTGGCTGCCCCCATTCTCTCCCTGCACACCCATGCTTGGATGCATGGGGTCAGGGAAATCCATTTACAAACACATAACCAGCTTCCAAAGCTGAGAGGTCAAGGGACACGTTGAGGTGATAGGTCATCTGAATACAGAAAAGGCAGGGGAACCTAGTTCAACCACTTTCTCTCTGTGGACATCAATTTCCACATCCGTAAATTAGGGATGGTGATATCTACCCATATGAATTAATGTGCATAAAATAAAACCCCTGGCCTAGTGAGTGACACACTGTGAACACAGGTGTCAGCTCCAGCCCAGCAGCCAGAATTGTGGATGTGGGGCTGTCTCTGTGCTAGAGCTCAGCTTCCTCAATGGTTCTCAACTGGGTGTGGTTTGCCCCACAGCGGACATTGGGCAATGTCTGGAGACGTTTTGATAGTCACAACTGAGCGGAAGGGTACTACTGGTATCTAGCTGGCCCAGGCCATACACGCTACTGAACATGCACCGGACCCAACAAAGACTCCTCTGGCCCAAAATGTCAATAGTGCCAAGGTTGAGAAACCCATCCAGCTAAAGTCATAGCAAAAAAGGGATGAGGTTGGCAGATTTTCCTTCATCCTTTGGAAAAAGAACATGTTAACGTAATTATTGACCTCATCTGGTGCTTAAAGAAGCAGAGTGTATAGGTCTAGACACTGCTGTGAAACTAAATCCAATTCTGGTGAAAGAAAATGTTTCCTGGATTCTAAGAAAGTAAAGGATTTTAAAAAAAATTTAAATAAGCAATTCTAACTATTCAACTGGTTTATTGAACTATGGATTGTAGGATCAAAGGCTGGGTTTTCTTGATTTTAATTTTTACCAATAATGCAGCCTAAAACCTTTTGCTAGGTTTGTATGATTTACTAAATAGTTGCTGATATTTGCATGCACACTGGACCAAGAATGTCACTTGTTAAATTCTGCATATAGTCTTATTTTAAGTCAGATGAAACTCTAAAGGAGAAAAGGCATTAAGTTTAGCTTGCCTTAAATATAAAAGTAAAATGTGCTAGAATTGAGTACTCATGTCATAAAATATTGAAAATCAGATGTTGATAAAAATTTTAAAATGACTCAATGCATAAAAATGCTTTGTAGTCATAGGGCTGTTTTTTGTTTTTGTTTTTGTCAGGGAAGATTCACCCTAAACTAACATCTGTTGCCAATCTTCCTCCTGACCCCCCCACCAAAGCTGCCCTACATAATTGTATATAGTTGTAAGTTCTAGTTCTGCTAGTTCTTTTGTGTGAGCCACCACCACAGCATGGCTACTGATAGACAAGTGGTGTGGTTCCTCACCCTGGAACCGAGCTCAGGCTGCCAGAGCAGAGAGCTCAGAACTTTAACTGCTAGGCCATCAGGGCTGGCTCCATAGTACAGTTTTTAAAGCTCAGCTTTCATTGAGTTTCTAAATTGTTCCAGGTGAAATCTCCTAAGTGAGTGGATCACCACCCAAATTCCTGGGCTGAGTTACCTGGGACCAATGAGAGAACCAGCAGTCATTGCCATGTTTGACACTTCTAGTCTGTGTTAAACTTCTAAAGTGGTGCCTTTTTTAAAGGAACATACATTTTCAAAGCCACTGATTATTATCAAAACCCTTCTTTCAGTCAACTTATTTGCAGACTTTCATCTTCAGTTTTGTTTGCCAACTAGGAAGGATTTTAAAAGAGAACTTGGGTTCCTTCCTGCTTCTGTGTTTAGCATGCTATAAATTCCATTAATAAATTCTTAAGATAGTTTAATCTTCAATTTTTAAAAAAATACCTCTACATCTCAGTAATTTGTTAAAAACGTATTGAAAATAGACCCCAATTGCACTAGTCACAAATAGATTTGGTATGCATTTTCTTTGAAAAAATTTCCATTCAAACTATCAAAAATGTTTTCAGAAACATATATACACAATTTTTCAATAATTCAACATGACCTAACTTTTAAATGTTCCTCAGTAGTCACTGATCTCCAGAGGGATCAAAGACTGTGTGTCTGCGAATATGGGACACTCCAGCAGCTGCTGGTGACTTCTGATTGCAACAGCAACGTGAGTACTGTCTGAAAGATACCAAGAGCATTCTTACAAGGGAGATGAACTTTGGGACTGTGTGTTCTCCTTGTCCTTGTCCAGCTGGTCTCCACAGACACTGTCCCCTCAGCCACCTTCTAAAATCCAGATCCACTCTGCCTAGACCCGATTTACTTGGTTTGCATATGTTAAGATTTATTCACTCATGTTCCTTCACCCATTCTGTATTTGAAATAAAATCATCACTCATGATTTAGAAGAGTATGCATTTGCCTCCCATTGATACCAAAACCATAAAATGAAATGAGTTATTTAGTGGTTTATATATATCTATATATATACATATATAGATATATATATATTGTACATGTATTGTCCTTTGGTGATAACATTGAGAGTTGAAAAGACTAATCTATTCTTTCTACTCTTGTACATATAAAAATCTATCTTCTCTGAGTAAAGATTTTTTAAAAAATGGCCTTTGATTTCAATTTTTAATTGCAATTTGTAAGACAGTCCTCTTCCAAAACTCTGTGATCCTCTTGCTTAGAAAGAACTTACCAATCCAGCGATTTTTCTTATTTCTTCTGTTTTTGTGGTGATTTTTGGACAGAGGTTCCAATAATTCTCCATGATTGTGGGATATACAATTGTACTTTGTTTCTATTTAACTATATATTCACTTATTCATCCAGTAGGTCTTAACTCCTCTTGCATACTACAACTGTGCTAAGTGCTGGAGATTCAGACATTATTAAGACAGTGTCTCAACTCTTGAAGAGTTTATCAGTAAGGACTAATAAGCACTAAATTCATATAATATTATAAGTGCTAGGACAGAACCAAGAGAATGGGTAAGACATATACATGAGGAAGCAGTTAACTCAGAGAAAAGCTTCACCATGTAGGTACCATGTGATCTGGGCTTTGAGGGTGAAGTGAAGTTGGACACATGAAGATGGTGGGAAAGGGCATGACTTGCCCAAGAGAAGTGTGAGCAGAGGAATGGGAGCAGAAAGTGCTCAGTGCTCTGAGAACGACTGGTGAGCTGGCGTGACTGGAGAGTAGTCTGCCTGATGAAGAACAGCTGAAGGGCCCTATGCAGAGCGGCTCTCGCTGGTACTGATGCTCTGCGAAGGGGGTTATATTTCACCCTGTACCCAGTGGAAAACCATCAAAGGCCCTACTGTGATGTCATAGACCAGCTTATCCTTGGGTGGAGGATATAGGGGCCCCAAGGAAGCCAATCTAGAAAGTTCTACATTTTTTCCTTAATATCTGTTTATTTTAGAGTATTTGAAGACTACAAGAAAGTAGTTTGAAGTAAATGAAAAAAATCACCAGTAAATCCACTTTCCATTTATATTAATTTTGAAGATTTTTATGGGTTTCATCCCTCATAGTCTTTTCCTATGCATAGAAAATCTATGAATTTTATATAATATTTGATACAAAATTTGAACCTACAGTTTTGTGTATTTTAAAATTAGCCTGATATTTTGAGCTTTTAAAGTAATCATTCATTATTTTTCTGGAAAATGATATTTTATGATGCATAATGTTCGCTTGTATGAATTTACCATAAAGTTTATAAATAATAATCCATTTTTGGACATTTAACACATTTCACCTTTTTTGTTGTCTGTCTTCAGTAATGGTTTGCTGAACATCCCAGTTAAAATTGTTAAAGCATAATAATACCACATCGGTGATATCGTGTATTCATGAATTCCACTGAAAAAGGAGAACAATAAATAAATGTTGGTTGAGCTGAATGGGAATGAGGCATTTGCTTTGATGGCAGTGAGAGTCATTTGGGTTAGATGTTAGGAAGGACTCTTTTACTGTAACAGCTGTGACATAGTATTTGCCATCATGGGACTCTTGAACCTATAGTCCCATTTTCTGAATGTTTGAAAAATAAACAGCCAGGATTTAAGTACTATCTTTCTTACCTGAATTGACTAGGATAGACAGTATCTTATGTCTGTTATCTAAGATTTTCAACTTCTGTAATCCTTTAAAATTTTATTTATATTTAAAATACAAATTTTCAAAATTTTTAACAATTACATGCTGTCATAGTCCACTTGAGCTGCTGTAGCAAAAATACCATAGACTATGTGGCTTAAATAGCAAATATTTATTTCTCACAGTTTTGGAGGCTGGGCAGTCCAAGATCAAGGCCCTGGCAGATTCCTGTCTGGGGAGAGACCACGTCCTGGTTCATAGACAGCTGGTTGTCTTCTCGCTGTGTCCTCACACTGGGGAAGGGGTGAGGAAGCTCTCTGGGGCCTCTCTTACAAGGGCACTAATCCCATTCATGAGGGCTCCACCCTCATGACCTAACCACCTCCCAAAGGCCCCACCTCATAATACCATCACATTGGGGATTATGATTTCAAGATATGAATTTTGGGAAGACACAGGCATTCAGTCCATTGCGCGTGCTTTTTGTAATCAGCCAAGTAATACAGAGGTATGTAAAACAGAGTTAATCTTTTCCCTAGCCAATCTCACCCTTCTGCGGTAACCAGCATTAACAATTCAGTGTGTCTTTTCTCACCTTTCTCAGTGCTCGTACAGACACATGGACATCCATGTTCCCATATAAAAGGTGTTTTTGTTGAGCAGAGTGCTGTGTACTGGTTTGTTTTTTTTTTTCAAAGATTGACACCTGAGCTAACAACTGTTGCCAATCTTTTTTTTTTTTCTCCCCAAAAGCCCCCAGTACATAGTTGCAGATTCTAGTTGTGAGTGTCTCTGGTTGTGCTATGTGGGATGCTGCCTCAGCGTGGCCTGATGAGCGGTGCCATGCCCGTGCCCTGGATCTGAACCTGCGAAACCCTGGGCCGCCGAAGCAGATACACGAACTTAACCACTTGGCCACAGGGCCGGCCCCAAGTACTGATTATTAATCCCGAGAGCAGAACACTGTGTACCAATCCCAGGGGAGGACTCCAAACACTTCTTTCCATTGCTTCTTGGTATTGGAGTTGCCACAGAAAACAACGCGATCCGGCACTAGATGGAACAACACTTTACTTACATAGGAAAGAGACAGAGCAAGATCAGCTTCAATGGTGTGTGTCAGTCCTTCATGGCCAGCGGGTCTGTGTCCCATCCTGTCATTTCCCTACCCCCAACAGCCGATGCAGGGCAATTGGCCTACTGTACATTCCTCATGTTTCTACCACTACCAACAATGATTTGAAGGATCCCAACCTCTCCCGTGGAGTCTGAAATACTGAAAAGCTGAGGGCATGCCTAAGGGCCATTGATACACAAGCTTAAGTCGCTGCGCCTGAGATAGGGAGAGAGAATCCCTCACTAGGTGATAACCCAGCACAGGCTATGTGGGGTCTTTATCTCTTGGAGAGGAAGTGTTCCAGGCCCGAGACCCATTCTTATTCAGCCATGTGGGGGTCCAATGCATGCCTTCCCCAACAATTTTTATTCCTGTCCCCAAGTGAATCATGTGCAAACATAACTCAGCAACTTGCTTTCCACATTTAACAACATACAAGGAACATTCCTCCTGGTCAATACACGTCACTCCAGTTGGTTATTTTTAGACTGAAAAATAGTACGCAGTGTGGGTGTGCTGTGCTTGTTTCATTTGTTCCTGATGGGCATTCAGGTTTTTGTAGTTTTCTGCCGCTATCAACAAGGCTGCAGTAAATATTTTATACCTATCTTCTGAGGTCTGCTCCTTTTTTTCTGAGATTGATCCTTAAGAGTGGATGGCTGGGCCAACGGCTCTCCCCAGTCAGCTGTCACAGTCCAGAAGCCAACAAAGTATTAGAGGACCTATTTCGCTACAGCCTTGCCAACACAGGCTGTTATCCAACTTCTGCATTTTTACTGATCTCTTAGATGAAAAGATGATATATTGCCGGGGTCCCGCCCCGGCTGAGTCCAGGTTCCTGAGGGATGGACGGCGTCGGCGCAGTGAGGGGAAAATAAAGAGGACATGAGACTTGGGTTGGTGTTAGCAAGTCCAACTTTACTGTGCACAAGTGTCGTTTATATATTTTTCAGGATTAGTACAGAAATAGTTCTACAAATATTCTCAGAGAGATAAGGAAGTAAAAAACGAGCACAAGAATATTTATTAGCATTCTATTCTATAGAGCATAAGGTTAATGATCGTCTTCTCCGCAACTAACTAGTGTTTGTTGTCTCTAAGCTAAAAGAGATAGGTACCTAGACACCTGTTGTAATTCATGGTAAAGTTAAATCAAAGAGAGAAGGTCCAGGCCTCCGGACAGGACAGCAGTCCGTCTGGTTACATCCTGGTGGAACCATCCCTGCCTCCCTCAATCATTTACGCCATTAGTGTAGATGGTTAATGGGAACAAAAGGCAACTCCAGGGTGTCTTATCCCCAGGGCTATCTGCATTCTCAGCGGGCAGTTAAACATCTTTACTTTTTCGCTCCCTTTAGGGGGTGAAAGCATTCCTTTGTCTTTTAGATTGTGGAGCTAACAGTCCCTTAAGCACACTGCCGGAGAAAGTATCATTTTGTTAGTAAAGTAAAGGGCTGAAAAGCTAAGCTAAACTGTATATCTTCAAGAATAAAAAACAGAAATAAGTATAGACATAACCTTGATAGAAAGCATGCATATAATTCAGAAAATATCAGGGGTGTCGGCCGGCCATTCTTCACCGAGGGGCATCCCTGCACCCCTCGGCCCTTCTACTCATCAATTACTTATTATTTATTGCTTTTAGGAGAAAACCTCTATAACATTTTCACAGAAAGCAGAAGATCAAGAATAATATATAGATACTTCTTGGTCATCCAATTAACCAGCAAACTTAGAAGGACGATGCATATATATTTAGACAAAGAACTGGAGGGAGAAGGAAACATTAACCAGATGGAGGCCATAAACCTAATTCGACATCTTATCTGGGCAGGATTCCTTTCTGCTTGTCTCAGATGGGACTGTGTGCTCCTCCGTTAATTAACTGAAAAATATCTTGAAAGTTACCTGCAGGTGGTCACATTCTCTTACTATATTTAATTTTCCCGGGAGGTAGTGCCTCCCAAGCAGCCACCCAAAGGAGTGAAAACTGGAGGTTAAGAAAGGAAAAGGAATGAAGGGCAATTAGAAGCAGCACAGGTTTCAGAACTATGTGAGGGGCTGGCCGGTTATCTTCACCAAGGGGCAACCCTGCACCCCTAGGCGTTAATCGGCTGGACCCTGTCAAACAGCCGATCAAATGATGTAGCCACGGCTCCCGGCAATATATCTTTGTGATTTTGCTTTTTTTCCTCTTTAATTTTTTTTCTTGTGGTCATAATAGCTTATAACATAGTGAGATTTCAGTTGTACATTGTTGTTTGTCTTACACCATATAAGTATGCATATCTTTGTGATTTTAACTTGCATTTTTCTTATTACTAGTGAAGTTGTCTTTTCACATTTTATTTGGCCATTGCATTTTCTTGTGTATGACTTGCCTTAAACTTTTCTAATTCTTGCATATTTTATTTTTGCTAAACATTTCATGATTTACAAACACACATTTCCATCTCTTTTAATAGTTATTTTCCTACCCAGATTTCAAGAGAAAAAGAGATTTTCTCCTGGCTGTTGTCAGTAGCAGCTATTTGAAATGATAAAGATTTGATAAGTGAAACTGGAGAAATGTGAATGTTACTGAACGGATTGCTTCAAGTGAAAGGAATATTGCTGATACCTCTCTGACCGATGCTTCTTAAATGATCAGGCCCCCGAGTCAGGCTGCAGTACCCAAAGGCATGAGTCCAGGCTTGACATATTGGTGGCTGCATCCTGGAATCATTTTCTGACTCTCACCCTAACATTGATGTTGTGTAAGGCCTAGATTACTTAAACAATCTCTAGCCTGTCTGAGGACGTCTTTCTTACTATCTACCCTTTTCTTTAAATATGCCTTGGGGGGAAAAGTTACATTTTGTCTTGCTTCGTGTGCATAGTGGATGTCTTCCATTGCAAAGGGAATGGTTTTACTGTTTTCCTCATCTCACCTGAAAGGATGACCCGGAACTTTATAAAGACCAGAGAGCATTCAAGGAATGACCGAGGAGGGGAATGTAGCATGTCCAGGGAGCTGACCACAGGCACAGCTTGTGTCTGTCTCCCTCCCTCAGCAGTTACAGGAGATAGAAACTGGTCGCAGAGCCCTGTGCTGTAGTTTGGGTATCAGAACAACTCACCAAAAAATGCACGGAAAACCCAGTTCTTGAGTGGGAGGAGACGGGAGGAGGGAGAAGACAGGGATTTCCTTTTCTTTAAATGAGTGTTACTTTTTGTTAATGAGTTTGAATTCAGAATAATTTATTACCTTGGAGTTTTCTTGTAATTTGAGACTGTCTCCCTTCTTGCTTAAGGCAAAAATCTATGGCTGGCTGTTAAATTCGGAGGTTTATCCTTTGTCAGGTTTGGCTGCCTTTTCCAAATTCCCTAAGAGGTAAATTTGAATATGTGTGTTAGGGAGGCTGAGAAATGAAGGGAAGATGCAGAGAAAAAGGTGATTTAAAGGTTAAGGTGGTCTACCCATGTTTGGTTTGTCTACACACATTCCTGGAATAGTTTTATTTTCCCTCATGCTATGTAGGAGTTCATTCAGACGAGGAAGTTCCTAGAGTCTGTGCATCAGGAGCATTAGCTATTTTTTGTTTTTCCTTAACTATTTGTTTGTTTTTTTATTCACAAATTTGTGGCTGCTGTGTTTTGATGACTTTGTTTTTGAGTTGTTTGGATCTGAGTGCCAGTTTTATCCAGTGTGCATCTCTTTTGTGTGTGTGTCAACCTGTACCTTTTCTAGAGTGGCAAATAGTGTTTTGAAATGGGAGGAATACCCCAAATGCCCTTATACTTGAAGCTGAGGTTTGTGATAAACATTTTACATCTTTTAATTGAAAATTCACTTAGTGTTTTTCTAGGTGGTTTTGAGTGTGGTCACTGAAATGCTCATAACCAGCAGAAGCCATTGGTGTGGATAAGGTCATGTGACCTCATGTGAAGAATAAAAGCTCAGGTCTGAGGGCTCTGGTTGTGATTCCTGTTGGCCCCACTGGAGGGAAGTTCAGAAGCGGCCCCTCGAGGAGCACAGCTACCACATCAACTGTGAGGAACTTCAGCTTTTCTGTTTCTGGCTTTCGTTACAGAAAACCTGATGTCTTCTATACTTGTTCCCTTAACCTACTTATAAAACAATTTTTAAAAAATTTTCTACAGTATTCACATTTTAAACTGAAGTTTTCTTTTACTGATGGATATTCTAAACAACATAAATTATGATGGAGGTTGGAAAGTATGACACAACTATGTCCTGGTAACGTGAAAAGACACCTTTCTACCACAAGTAGTCCCAGGTATACATCAATTTTTGACTTTTTGGCATGTTGGATAAGATCCTGATGTAGGTGTCTTCTATTACTAAATGCAGTTAACATTCTAGGGTCACCTGTCGTGTCATGAAGCTCCTAGTTCATTCTAATCTTTCTCACTTTTCTTACTTGTAACTTTTTCAAGGAAGTGGAGACTTAAATTTTTTTTATCTGGGAATATAGAAGTATAAACTCAGGCAGAACATTGATAGAATGAAAGCTAGCCTCTGGCTTAATGTAGTCCTTGAAGGCACTGAATGCAGAACAAAAATGGAGTGATGGTACCCGTACAGCTCGTACACTGATGTGTGCTGAATCTTACTCTGGTTACATGTTGTTTGCTACTCCTGTCAATGGCCATTGCATTGGTTGTCAGTCTTAGTCATTTTATCTTCAACGCTACAAAAGAAAGATGCTCCCCTGGCTGAGTATCAGGTTTAATTTATAGGCGTTGGAATAGTACATATGTAAGGTCATGATAGCTGATTAAGTTATTCCACAAATATTTACTGAGTGCCTGGTAGTAACAGTGAATAAAGTACCTCATAATCTAAAGAAGGAGAAAGACAATGAATCATATAGTTAAAATATAGCGTAAGTGCTACAATATCTTGAAGTCTTCTAACTCTCTTTATTCTTCCCAGTGTTAACCAGATAATCTTCTGCTGTTCATTTGGTTTCTCAAGAAGATTTTGTTCTGAGGAAGAAAAGAGCACAGAATTTGCCATAAGATATTTGGTCTACTTGGCAAATCAATCTCCCAGGAGATTTGTTAGTAGAAACTATCATCTGAGAAGCTGGTCACCATAGTGTGAACTGGTGAAATAAAATTCTGGACCTAACCACATAGGACAGCTTGAAATATGATATCTCTCAAATATGCAGCCAACCTGGGGATCCCAGCCTGAATGACCAGCTGGTCTTACATAGTAATTGAAACTGTGTTTTACTGCAATGACATTTTCTCTAGTTAGTCCAGTGAGATGACGTCATGAAGCAAGCTGCTCCCATGGCCTTGGGCAGTGTCACTGTAGCCATAGGACAAGCAGGTCCTGCCCATCACCCCAAATTTTCGTATCTCTTAGTGCCTTCAGGAGCATCCTAAAGGCATTGAGTGGGCATGAGACTAGAGAAGCCTTGGATAAATGTGGCCAGTTCAGGCTCTCTGAGATTCCTATTCCTGGAGATGAGTAGAAGTCTTGATCAGATTTTGGCCACAGAAATGATAATTTACATTTACGTGCATCCCTAATTGGTTTGAGCTCCTTGTTGATTGCCTACCTTCCAGCACCTCCCAGTGCTTATTTAGCTGTTGGGTTCCATGTCCTTTCTGCTATCTTTAGTATTCACTCGAATTTTGGTGACTTCAGCAGTACATGATGAATGTGGGAATTTTATGTCGAAGTTATGTTGTCGAAGTTATGTTTCCTCTTGCAGTCAAAAGACAGTCACTTTGTGCATATAGATGAATGAGAAATGCAAGGAAATATTTCCATATGTTTGTTGATCTCTATCTGTAATAACATGTCACTTCCATCTTTAGCCAAAGTTAGGTTTTGGCTAGTCACAAATGGTTTTAGAGATTAGAGTCAATTTTAATCACCATCTAACTATTTGGATTGATACCTAAGCAGCATATTAGAAAAAAAAAAAAAGTGGAAAGACAGAGTGTAAGAATTTAATTTAGTCTACTATAAACTCAGAAGCATCTTCAGATAAAATACTTAGTAAAAAGCATAAAATCTTTCTTTATTCACCTGATCAGTACACTCTCAGACTAAGCATTATAGATATGACTTCTTTTTTTGGCTACATTATTAAATGAAAGCAAACCTTTAGAAAACAATGAATGCTATTAATAGTAGAGACTCATGTGTTCTTCGTATTTTAAGAAGGATGGTAAACTTTTATAGGACAGTGTCTGAAATATTTTCTGCATAAACTTTAACTATAATTAGAGTAATATATGGTATCATGTGTCTTAATGCAATTTATAATGCGAGTTGTAATGTAGCTTGTGTTGCATATAGTATTTACTAGAAATGTAGATAGTAAGATATATAAAAAACAAAAAAGTCAACATTTTAGATCGAATTCAGCACACAACATGTTACGTGTTATTGTAGTGTAATTGGCGGCTAGGTAGGATTCCAGAACAGAAACTGAGGAGGCAGAGGAGAGAGGATTTTGCGAGAGATGGAGTAGCATAAAAAATGTATGATCAAACAGAACATGACTGAGGGACACTGCATATGACAGTCTGCCTGGTTTTGAGGGTTTGGTGGGAAAAGCACAGGCAGGCTAGTTGAATCGTCACTTGCAGCCAGCTGTGGAAGGTTTTGAATGCTAGTCTAAGAATTTTCAAATTTAGGCTGTAATTCATTCCATCCATTGAATGTGTTTTGAACTGGGTTTTGACATGATGAAAGTAATGTGTTCAAAATACTGAGTGTTGTGTAGATTGGGTGGTGGAGAAAGAGAATGCAAGCAAGGAAATAAAATTTAGCTTAGATTTCAATAGTCTGAGTGTATAGAGATAAAAGCCTAAATCACTATCATGGCGATGAAAATTCAAAGGAATGCAGATATGACAGATATCGTGAGGAGACTTGATAGTTTGATTTTCCAGCTTAGGGGATTAATTCAACAAACACTAGTTGAACAACTCCTATAAGAGTGGGTTTAGGAGCTGTAAGCCCACCCTGGACTCCTCCCAGTTATCAATGGTGAGGAGGCTGCATATATTGAAGCTACAGATCTTGGCCTTCAGTAAGCCTGAGTCCTGCAGGGCAGAAGGTTTTATGGGTGGGAAAGAGAGACATTCTAGTTGCTGTCTGACCTCTGCGAGAGATGTGGTCAAGTTGAAAAAGCATGAGCTCTGTTACCTAATAGAGTTGCATTCAAATCTCAAGTCCAGGGCCTGGCCCCGTGGCTGAGTGGTTGAGTTCGCACACTACAGTTCAGCCGCCCAGGGTTTCCCCGGTTTGGATCCTGGGAACAGACATGGCATCGCTCACCGACCCATGCTGAGGTGGCATCCCACATAGCACAACTAGAAGGACCTGCAACGAGAATATACAGCTATGCACTGGGAGGCTTTAGGGAGAAGAAGAAGAGAAAAAAAAGATTGGCAATAGATGTTAGGTCAGGTGCCAATCTTTAGAAGAAAAAGATTGGCAACAGATGTTAGCTCAGGTGCCAATCTTTAGGAAAAAAACAAACTCAAGTCCACCACTCATCAATCATGTGAGCTTGGGCAAGTTATCTAACTTTTTAAATCATCATTTCTTCATTTGAAAACTGAGAAAATGCCAGCTATGGAAGATGATTCTCCATAAATCACCTGCATTTCTGCACATCTTTCAAGCAGAGACATTGACAGCCTTTTTTCTGCCCTATCTTTTCAAGGATGTTTATAGTGAACAGTCTTGGAAGATAGAGATAGTGTCGCCCTCTAGAGCAGAAGGCAGATTTGCTTACTGTCTGTTAGAAAAGATTTGGATTCCCTTAGCTCAGGATTCTTTAGCTCTGATGCAAACCCATTATGTGAGCATTTTCCATCTAGGTCCCACCATGTCACCCACCATGAAACTTGGTGGCAAGAGAAACAAGCCTGAACATGATGTTTATGCTGCTTGCTATGCTGTGAGTCTCTGATCCAGGAGTCTTGGCTCCTCTGCCAGCATCCATGAAATTGTGACAAGCTAATAACTTGTTAGCTTATGAGTTGGGTAAAATCTGAGACCCTTTGTCTTGATGCCATCTGCCTAATATGTTTCTGGGGAGGATGAGACAAGATATGATATGAAACACATCTGGCATATAGCCTGTGGTTGAAAAGAAAGTATTTGTCTACTTCCTCCCTTAAGAGAGCAATTGACAAACTGCTGAAAGTTCTCAAAGACACGGCAGCACTTATGCCCTTTCCAATATGGTTTCATCATCAGCGCAGATCCTTTGTCCTACTGTCAGGATATGTTTTGGAGTGATTGACAGAGAGGGACCCAAAAAAGTTTAAGAAGAGATTATTATGCTGCCTGGTTGCAGTTGAGGGTCTGGTGCCCTTCACTGACTTCTCTCAAGGTCGAGGTATCAGAGAGAGAAACAAAGAGCAGCTTGATAGCAATGCTCTATTTATTTTACCAGGATTGAGCTGGGGATAAGGAGGTGGTAAATATGGTTCATCTAAGACGGTGGTCCATGGAGAGGAAAAGGGATGAGGCCTGGGGAAGAAGAGAGACACAGCTCTCTCTCAGTGAATGTGACTCTGAAGGAGAAGATGGAAGAAACTGTCTCTGTAAGAAGGACTGGTTGTCCCCACGAGGGCTTGGCTGAGGAGGGAGCCTCACCCTGGCAGTGTCTTGACCTTCTGTAGTCACCTTTGCACACATGAGTGTGACATTCACGTATCTGATCCTGGGTTACTCTTTTCAGAGACAGTTCCTCATCAGTGGGTCTGAACACAGCTGTTGCGTTTTGCTCTAGGTTGGGTCTCTCCTTTCATCATCGTGCCAGGACAGATTGTCATGCTAGGAAATGCAGGGAGGCCAAGGTGAACAAAACCGGTTTTCTGTCATTCAGTTGCTCACATTCTAGCACGGGAGATAAGAGGTGTAGTCAAATAGACCTAATACAAGGGAGAAAGTAGTGAGTGCCTGAGGGTGGCACAGGCGCTGATATGGGGCTGAGTGGTGATGAGACCAGTGCTGACAGCATTGCTGAGGGAGTCACCCCGTC